GGGGGTGGTCTCCAGCCATAATCTTCAGAAAGTCCTCCAGCCATAATCTTCAGAACATAATCTTCAGAAGGTCCACCCTCCCTTGCCTGGCCAATGATAAACAGGGTCTGTCGGCGAGAACCCCAGCTCTGAGGCATTTACAGAAAAGGATACGGCCTTTTGTTACTCAGGGACACAGCTCCGTTGCTGGGAAACAAACAGACGCTGTCATTTGGGGAAACAGCAAAACAGCCAAGAAATAGCTTGAGGAGGGGAAAGGGAGCTTTCAGAGGTTTAAAAGAGAAACAAAAAAAGCCGAGAAGGGCTGGCCTAGGAGAAGCCCTCAGGGAGGCTGGGCCTGAAATGAACCACCTCGGGCCTCAGCCCACCTTCCTTCCCTCCCGGTGCCCACTCGAGTGCTGAGATCTGACGGATTTAAAACGGGGCAGGGCGCAGAAAGTCTCTTCGGACAAAACCCAGCCGCGAGGGCCCTGAGGTTCTCAGTATCTGATGCAGAGGCGGGAAAACTTGACTTTTGCAACCAAGAGTTGCATCCGGACGCCTAAAAGACGCAAATGGGTGGCCGGGCGTCGATGGTCGATGCGACATCCCAAAGTGTCGGCGGTGCGGCCCCGAGGCCCCCTCAGCGCGGTCGGTCACCCGAGTAGGGGGCAATCGGCGCGCGCCATGCAGCGTGAGCTGCCGACGGGACCCTGGTAACCAAGAGCGCGTGCGCGTGCGCAGGGGGCCCACTGCTTTAGCTCTTCTCCAGGTGCGCTCGCGCTTCCGGCGAGCCTTCTCCTACTCTCCCTTCCCCGGGCGGAAACTTCACGGCCTGCGCATGCGCTTCCCGACTCTCCTGCTAGGTCGGGTGGGGAGGCCCCCGGCTTCAGGTGATCCCGCCCCTCCCTCGCAGCGCTGGACCAATCACGCCGCGGTAGGCGGAATTTTCGAGAAGGCGGTCCGCCCACGCGCTGAGCGAGGCGTGTATCGATTGGTTGGCGCCGCGGGCGCAGGTGCGCGCTTCCTATTGGGTGTGGGCGGAGCGCGAGCTGCCGAGTCTTCTTTGGAGGCTGCAGGTGAACGCGCGCACGGGGTTCGGGGACGCGCCCGCGGGCTCGCGGCGGAGGCTGCCGGGAGCGAGGTTGCGGCGCTCGTCGCCTCCGCTCCGCCCTCTCCTCCTCCTCCTCAGTCGTCGCGACCGCCGCGGAGGCCCGGAGGGAGGGAGCTACGTCCCCGCCCGCCCCGCCGCCAGTCCGACCCTCGATCTCGCCGTGTGAGGAGCTTGCGGAGCGGAGCTCAGCGCGGAGACAGGAGCCGCCGCCACCCCTTCCGCAGGTGCCTGTGAGGAGGCGTCGGGCCACAGCCGACCCCCCAAGCCCGCCGGCGCGCCCTCGCTCCCCGTGCTCCTGTGGGGCGGCCCGGCCGGAGGAGGCCGCCGCGGGCTCGGCGCTCGGGATGAACCGCAGCCACCGGCACGGGGCGGGCAGCGGCTACCTGGGCACCATGGAGGTGAAGAGCAAGGTGCGCGGGGCCCGGGCTGGGTGGAGCGGCGGGACAGGGGCCGGGACCGGGGCCAGGACCTGGACCTGGGGGAGGCCAGAGACTGTCTTGGGGGGCGAGGGACGGCGAACGCGTCGCGGGGGAAGCGAGGGGCCGTGCAGGGACCGAATGGAGAGCTGCCTGGTGTCTGGGACGGCGGGGTGCGGGGTAGTGGGACTTGGAGGCTGGCGGTGGTGGATGATAAAAACTCTGAGAAGGGGACGGGCGGGGGCTTGTATCTGCTCCTGGCTCTGATAGGAAGACCCAGTGGAGCATAGTCTCCGTCCTGTTCCAGAATGGGAGTAAGGCCCAGTCTATACTCGAGGATGTGGAGGCATTTGAGTACAGTGGGGGAGGAAAGATTTGGGGGAAATTATACGTACTGGGTTTATGAGTAAAAGGTATTTGGAACATCCCATGGTCACATATCGTTACTCCTTTTGTGGCTCAGAGGATCATCGGGTGGCGAAGGAAAGAGCCCAGTGAACCAAAGAGACATTTTAAAGTTAGCTGTTTCCTGCTAGGAATTTTTCTAGCACTAAGTTTGGTATTTATTTAATTTATCAAATTAGCACTATCACCTTATGCTTACGTTTGAGTAGCACTTTACAGTTTGAGTCTGGATGCTCTTTTCATTCCATCGTTCTGCCTTTTCACATCAAGTCCTTGCACCCTTGACCAGTGAATGGTATGCCAATCTGGGGATAATTACCTCCGTATCAACTGAATTCCTAAATTGCAAGGCTGGGCGAGCAGGGCAGTCTGTAGGGATTAGTTAAGGAATGCTTTCCAAAGGGAGTTTTGAACTGGAATTTGAAGGTGATCGGCAGCTGCGGGAGCATTTTCAGCAAGCGTTTCATGAATTGAAGAGCCAAAGGAGTTTAGATAATCTAGCCTGATTCTCGTTTTACAGATGAGAAGACTGAGGCTCAGAAGGGTTGTGACTTTCCCAAGCTCTGCTTTTGTGATAAAACCTTAAAGCCTTCATTAAAGCTGTTTCACAGCATAACTTTCAGGCACTATAGAATATAAAACAGTGCACTGGCTGGGCCCTGAGAACATTTAGAATAGAGCTGGGAAGACCAGAACACATGAAAGAATAGAAAAGTAAAAGCATATTACCTTCAAAAATAATGAAACATGTTGAATGTAGAACTACTTAGAATGCAAAAATCAAGGAGTGATTCGAGCGAAGTTAAGGAAAGCTTCCAGGAGCCTGTGGGTAGAGTAGTTTTTATTGTCTAGGGCTGATAAGCAAAATTCTGTATGTCAATGTAACTGAGAACCACATCAAGAATATCTAAATTTGTGTTCATTTTTAAACTTTGCCACTTAAGAACTCACCTATCAGGATAGGCACTAGTTTGAGGAACCGATCTGTAATTATAAGCAATTTAAGAAATAAGTTTTTCCTTGTGTCCTCCATGGAACTGCCGTAGCAAACTGAAGTGGCTTGCTTGAACGAAAGGGTTAAGATGACTCAAAATCCGCAGAGCTTTTCCTCTAGCAATCTGGTGGTGATAGTGGTTCCGTGCCCCTTGGTTGGGCTTTCTCATGGCAGTTCTGTTATAAATGTAGTTTGGGTTTGTGGGAGTTGAGGTTAAGAAAAGAAAAACACTTGTGATACTGCATAATCTTAAAATTCAGTTTGTGGTCTTAATCTTGGTGGCAAGTCTTTAATTTTTTTATCCTAGGAAAAAATGAGTAGGGATTTGATAAGAGGGCTTAGTCGAGGTGCACTGATAATTACAATCAAATAGTCATTTCTAGTACTAGGAAACTTTGGGCGCTTGGGAACTGGAACTTCAGGCTTTTTGCCCTTCCATTCTGGCAGCTCATTTGTGAATCTTCCATATACTGTGGCCAAACTTATGTTGCATATTTGACCTGCCATAGTGCACGTTTTTAGTGAACCAAGTCTCTCTAATAGAACCAAGGCGCTCTGAGAGTATGCAGTGAATGAAGTGTGGTTCCACGATTATTCTGGCTGTTGATAAATAGGCACGGCACAGGGACTTCTAGTATGTCTGTAACATCTTATGTTTTAAGTATATATTGAATAAAACACTTGTCATCTTAGCCATCTAAAAAATATTTGGACATATTTTTGAAAAACAGTATTTCCGTTTACGCTGCTTTAGTGCTATCTCAGCTTTTTACAAACTGATCGCTAAGCTGGTAAACAAAACTAGGTAGTGTGCAGACCCATGCTTTAGAGTTTCTTTTCCTTCAACGTTAACAACAGTAGCGTCAACTTTACTATTTGCTCATGGAGGGGGAAAATGGTACAGATAATAAAATAATGGATAGTGCAAATATCACTAGAGTTAGATTTGTGATATTGGCTGCAATGTGATTTTTTTTCTTTGGTAACTGATTTATCTTCCTAATTGTTTCTCCAGAGTTAGGGAAGTTTTTAATACACAAGATAGTGTCCTTTAACCTTGGAACAGTCTTTGAACCATAAAACTTCCTAATTGTTATTCGTGTTGTTGTTGTTGTTAGGTGCTATCCAGTCGGTTCGACTCTTAGAGACCTTGTGTACAACAGAACGAAAGAAACACTGCCCAGTCCTGCGCCATCCTCGCAGTCATTGCTGTGTTTGAGCCCATTGTTGCAGCCACTGTGTCAGTCGGTCTCCTTGAGGGTCTTCCTCTTTTTAATTGTTATTCATAGGCAAACAGAATATTAAATTTGCATTTCTAGAGTGCCAGCTGATGCTGGGAGAAGGGAATCTGTATGCATTCTGCATAGCTAGGACAAATTGTTGTTAGGTGCCCTCGAGTTGGTTCCAATTCATAGCGACCCCATAGGATAGGACAGAACTGTCCCATAGGGCTTCCAAGGAGTGGCTGGTGGATTTGAACTGCCGACCTTTTGGATAGCAGCCAAGCTCTTAACCACTACACCACCAGGGCTCCTTGGACAAACCAGATGGGTCTAAAAAACAGTTGTAAATGGCGCGCATAGTGAATAATTCCTTTGTGAATAGTTGCTGATTGGGTCTGAAGTTTATTTTTTGGTATTTTACTTCATGTAGTAAAAAGTTCTCTTAATCCTATTGTTTTGCTGTAAGAAGCGTAAACAGTTTCTCTTGTTTTTTCCTGCCAACATTTTCAAAAAGGCACAACTACTGTGAAGCCATACAGTTTCCCATTGTTTTTATCATACCATTTTAGCAAGAGAAAAAAAAATGTTGAGCAAAGAATTTCCATCTAAGGCTTTAGCCAAAAGATTGAGGCCCTAAAATATTTACTCACTAAATGTCATTCCCTTTTATAGTCTTTGGGTGGTGCAAATGGTTAAGCACTAGACTGTTAACCAAAAGATGGGTGATTTCGAACCCACCAGATGCGCCTCAGAAGTAAGGCCTAGAGGTCTGCATCCGAAAGGTCACAGCCTTGAAAACCCTATGGAGCAGTTCTGTTCTGTACACATGGGGTCGCCATGAGTCGGAATTCACTCAGTGGCAACTGAGAACAACAACATTGCCATTCATATATCAGAGGAAATGATAAACCCTGTGGGTGAATCAGAAAGCAATAGGGATTTCATGTTGTGATATCAGAATAAAGAAAATGGAGGAGAAACTATGACTTCTGATAACATCATAAGACTAACTCTGATACGAAGGGTGTTCCCTGAGTGTTTATTTACTTTGAAATGTGAAGGTGTGACTACACTTCTTGAGAGCTTTAGGTATGAGTCACTTTATGTTCTTAATAACTGTTAGTGTTTCAGCAGTGTGATTTGGAAACTTTTAAATTATTTATTAGAGGTGAGAGGTGGTTTTAGTGTGTTGGAGTTTTAATTTAAAACGAGTGAGTAGTGTGGGTATAAACGAGGAGGAACTTAGATACAGCAAAAGCAGTGGATCCTGATATCCCATAGGGCCCTTGGAAAAATGAACTGACACGTTTATAAACTGCTCAAATTATTATGAGAGGGGCTTTCCCCACATGATACTTAAGGCACTGTCTCAGTGGCACATTAGTATTTCTTACTGATAATAGATATTTAGAGGGAAAATGAAATCAGTGGTCAAACACATTTGGGAAGCATTTGTTTAAATTTTTTTGAAAAATCAACTCTGGGAGTTAACCAAGCTGTAATATGCTATTCTCCACAGCCATTCTTGAGAGGGTGAATATGTAGCATTTCCGAAACTTAAGTGACTGGGACACTTTTTGAGGAAGGCTGATGAACCTTTCTTAGGTTTCCACATTTGAGGAAGTGCTGTGGTAGTCCCATAGAATGTTATACATTCTGCTTATTATGGATTGGATGAAGCCAGTCCTTCATGTTGAATAAGTGCCACATTAGTGATTTGGCATTTGGGGAGAAGAGGTGCGATCCTGGAGTAGGGAAGCTGACCTGAGTGTCAGAACTGTGAAGAGAAATTTGGGGTATGATGGAGGTTGTTGTCCTCCCTGTTTGTGTGATCCCTTAATATTAATACCTCTCTGTTGTAATTATGCTCTTCACCCACTAATTGGTGAGTTTCTGGAGCAGGCCTGAGCCTTTCAATCTCTAGGGCCTAGCTTTGTGCCAGCCACATAAACATTTGTTGCATTAATTGGATAATTGTAGGGCATATATTTGATGTATTAATAAAACTTCTTTCGGCTTTAACATAGGGAAGGTGCTTCTTAACTCTAGGCCTATTTTGTATGTACCTACCTCCATCTGTATACCTTATGCCAAGGAGCTCAAAATCCTTTTTGTGTATTTTGCTATTAATCCTTGCCACATCCTGTGAAATCATGGTTCCTTTTATAGAGGAGGAAACTTAGATGCTTTTTTGCTAATGCTCAAAATAAGACTTGGGCACATCTCTGGTACTCCGTGGCTGATGTGAGGAGAGTACTACTGTCAGGGTGTGGTCTCCAGACAGGGTTTGAGCTGAGTCACTGTGCTGGACAGTCCCCGGAGAGGCAAGTACCCCAGGGATTGAGTTGAACTGCTTCTCTTGAAGGGAATGCCTTTCAGAGATGCAACAGTGAGGGGGTACATTCCTATGCCTTTCTTATGCAGATTCATCTCCTTATAATGAAGTTTCTGACGATAGACTGTTACTAGAAATATTTTCTTTATTAAAGGAAATACTGTTTGTTAATATTTATGGCATCTTTCTGTTACTTCTGCTTGTTTTTTAAACCTTTATATGTTTTTGTATTTATAGTTTGGAGCTGAATTTCGTCGTTTTTCACTGGAAAGATCAAAACCTGGAAAATTTGAGGAGTTTTATGGATTACTGCAGCATGTTCATAAGATACCCAATGTTGACGTTTTAGTAGGTTATGCAGACATCCATGGAGACTTACTACCTATAAATAACGATGATAATTACCACAAAGCCGTTTCAACAGCCAATCCACTGCTTAGAATTTTTATTCAAAAGAAGGGTAAGTACCACTGCTTGTAAAAATTGTTTTAGAAATAGAAGTGGTTTGTTTCTTTTTGATAGGATACACAGACTTTCTCACAAACTTAGTGAATAAACATTTTGTGTGTATCGTCTGGGCTATGTTAACTAACAAGTGGGTTAAAACATTTGTGATTGTTGGTTCAATTAATATCTTTGCACTTCATCAAGTGTACTTTACAAAATCCGTGTTTTGGAGTCAGAGGAACATTCCAGCTTTTTTGGTGGCAGCTAACTTTTAAGTGCTATATTTACTACTCAGTAAGTACGCAAAGGAGAGTTATTTAATCTTCCTGAGTATCACTTTATCTATAGAATGAGTACAATACCACAGAATTTCTGTGAAGATTAAATGAGCTAAGTGTAGTGCCTGGCATGTAGTATGCATCCAGTAAAAGTTTTCTTTTGCCTTTTAGGATATTTTCCACAGGAAAAGTATAAAATTATTAGTTTAATTATCTGGAAAATTAGATAGCAAGTCATTTTTTGGAGGGATGTAAATGTTGACATCAGTTTTGAAAAAAAAAATTTGAAATAACTGCTGTACTTGGCAAGCATTTTCAAATGTATTTTGAGTCCTAAAACTTTTTTTTTTTTTTTTAATATTGTGGCCTCTTTTGCATGTATGTATGTGTCTGTCTGTCTGGTAGGAATCATGGTATCTGCCATTTATTCCTGTGTCTTTGGTAAATTAAGAGGTTTGAGAAGCCATTGTCAGAGCAGGGAGCCCAGTATTGGTAGGATAATTAAAGTCTTACTCTGTAAATGTATCAGGTTGTGAAAACTCAGCTTGCTTGTGAAAATAGATAGGGATGTCCCTTGAAGTGAAACGTTAGTTCCAATCATTTGATATGCATTGGACCACTCCCAGGGCTTTGAAATTCCACTGGTTATGTATCTTTGCTTTGCTGGATTTGAAAGAACTAAAGTCCACCAACAAAATAAACCTCCAAGGGTAACTTATGTCTGCATTACTTGACTGTTTACAAAGTACTTTCACACACACAAATTTCCCCAAAGACCCCTGAGATGGATACCGTAGGTATTTAACAAGGATGTGATATAACTAATTTGGCTGTTAAGGATGAAGGAGTAGGCAGCAGTTTTTTACAGGGAACAAGAGCAGGTAGCGGAGACAGTGCTGGGAAGCTGCCACAGTAGAGGAGATAGGTGAGGAACAGAGCTTGTTGTTGGGTGCTGTCAGGTCGACTCATGGCAACTCCATGTGTCAGAGTAGAGCCGCCCCACAGGGTTTTCTCGGCTGTAGTCTTTGCAGAAGCAGGTGGCCAGGTTTTTCTCCTGAAGAGCCCCTGGGCGAGTTCAAACTGCCAACTTTTTGGTTAGCCAAGTGCTTGATGGTTGCACCACCAGGGCTCCTTGAGGAACAGAGCAGTGGGAAGATAAAAGGGAAATATTTGAGAGTCATTGCACTTACATTTGAGTGGTATAGAGTTGAAGGGGAGTCCGACAAAGAATAGCTTTATGGTTTTGAGCCTGATGGCTGGGACAGTGCCATAAATAAGGAAAATTTGGAAGAGAAATTGATTTGGGAAAGAAAATTATGAGTTTGATCTTAGAACAAATTAGCTTATAAGGCTGGTGAGTTGGACGTCATGTGGGAAGTTGAAAATGGTAGACTGGAGCTTAGTCAGAAACATTTGTCGGTCAGCTGAAGAGTGATAGTTGAAATTGTGGGAGTAGACATATGGCAAGGTGAGATGAAGATCAGGAATAGAACCTTGGAAAGCTGTGTATAGAATGCTGGAGAAGAAAGATGTCCGTTGAGGAGAGTGAAAGACAAAACATTTGAGTAGGACTTGCCATTTTAAGCAGAATGTGTTAAATATGTTGAATAACAGGTTTTTCTTGTTGTAATTTTCATTAAAAGTTCAGATGCTGTTTAGAATGTGTATGCAAATATATTAAATGACTATTTTTAAACTAGAGCCATCTGATAAATTTTTGCTGATTATCCCCTTTGTTAGAAAGATTATGGAAGTTGGATTATACCACCACATGTTTTTGTTAATGGAATTGTAACACAGTGATCATGGAATCAATCCTAACATCCTTTAAGAGTGGTTGTCTAGCATCTTCTATTTTCCTTTTAAATTTTTATTTCCTGGGTGGTTTAAAATTAGAGTTGGACGTTTTTCCTATGTTTTTATTGAACCTTTTGAAGATTTTTACTTTTGGTATAGAAGTTGCAATTTAGAAGTATGTTTATATGAACCGAAGTTTTCTGTGTAGTTATAATTTAAAAATTATAAATTCAATACAAGTATGACTTTAGCAATAAATTAAAGTAAGTGGGTCAGTTTGTTCCTGCTTAATGCTCTTTGCTGGCTTCCCATTGGAACAAGAATAAAATCCTCCTGATTTCGACTTCCCAACCTCATCTTCCTCTGTTCTCCTGCTCCCTCATCACAGCCAGCGAACCACGTTGGTTTTCTTTCTGTCCCTCAAACTTGGTAAGCCTGTTCCTGTCTCTGGTGTTGCATTTTTTTCGGTTAGGACTGTTAAGAACAATTTCCATCCAGGTCTTCCTGTGGCTGCCTCCTTATCCTTCAGATCTTTCTTAGCTCAAATAACAGCTTTCTCAGAGAATTCTCTTCTTTAACCCTACTTAAAGCAACTTACCCCCCCACCTTTACCAGATTACCCTCTGAAGACCTTATTTATCTACCTGTTAACTTGTTTATTACCATTGCATCCCCAGCATGTAAATAGGTGACAGACTTAACAAACACAGTGCCATGTGATTCATGTTGATATTTTTTTTAACAAAGCTCAACAGATGCTTAAGTTAGAAAGCTGATTTTATGTGAATCTTAATGGACATTAAATTCAGAAAACTAATATAAAGCATGACATTAAGCATAGTTACATTTTACTGCTTAATTAGAACACATTTTCTGTTTTCTTGGCTTGTTGACTGCAGTTAAGGAATCAACAGGGCAGCAGTTACACTTGACATGGTATCAAGTGATTTTTAAAAAACAAATTTCATGATTTAAGACCAAATGATCATTTTTTTTTTAAATAATTTTATTGTGCTTTAGGTGAAAGTTTACAGTGTGAGTTAGTTCCTCACTGAAAAATTTATACACAGATTGTTTTGTGACAGTGGTTGCAATTCCCACAATGTGACAGCACCCTCCCCATTTCCACCCTGGGTTCCCTTTATCCATTTGTCCAGTTTTCCTGTCCCTTTCTGCCTTCTCATCTTGCTTTTGGGCAAGAGGTGCCCATTTGGTCTTGTGTATTTGGTTGAACCAAGAAGCACGTTCCTCACATGTGTTATTGTTTGTCTTATAGGCCTGTCTAATTTTTGTCTGAAAAGTGGGCTTCGGGAGTGGCTTCATTTCTCAGTTAGCAGGGTGTCCGGGGGCCATAGTCTTGGAGGTTCCTTCAGTCTCTGTCCCAAGTGAGCTTTTAAAATCTGAGACACTCTACTAAATCAACTTTATTTGAAGTGAAAGCTCAGAATTTAATGTGTATGGCTTGAACTTGAAGATAGCATTGTATTGCGTATCTTGAAAAGTTTTATTATATTTAAAAAAATAATTTGTTGTTAGAAGAAAAAACCCATACTCTGTTTCTCAAGCTATTATCATGGGAGCACATCAAAAGAAAAAACCTCATATCTTAAAAAGTTATTTTCACAAAGAGAATTCCCAGGTTTTTTGCCAACTCCCACCCCCGTTGGAGTGTAGAGTATCCTAATTTACTGGAGAGAGGGAAAAGAGAAGGCACAGAATAGAGTTTTTCCTCTCTTGTTTGTGGGTTGTTATTGTGCACTAAACAGTTTTAGGAAGTTTGACTGCACCTTTTAATAACACCCAGGTCAATTCTGTAGGTTTGGAATGCAGCCAAGGAAATGTGTAATTTTTAAAAGCTTCCCAGCCGGTCATGATGATCAGCTGGCCTGGGATCTGTTGATATGCTATAGCACCAACTCCTTGCCAGATCTAATCAGAAGATCTACACCAGAACTTCTTACTATATCATGATCTGTTTTTGTATGGCATCAGACAAATATGTCTACATCTTGGACTTATTCAGAGGAATTTGTTGGAAACACCAGAAGGGTCTTGCATTAAACGTGATCTCACGTAGGACCCTCAGAAGGACGCAGCCTTGTGGCCCAGACACTTGTAATTGGGCACCTAAATTATTTCTTTGATCTTTACTGTGCACTGGCATTATTTTGTAGGTGTGTTTTAAGGTTACATCTTAATGAGTCAGTTTAATCTAAAAATGGTCTAAGGGATATGCATTTTAATAGTAAATTTTAAAAAACAAAAAGTATGGCCTAAAAAATAAAGAAAGAAGAAATGGTGGAGTAACATCTCAGAATATGACATCAGTTGCTCATGATCTGGGTGTCACATTTTACACATACCTGTTTTTCAACCAGTCACCAACCCTGTTGAAACTGTGTTATAATCATTTTTCAAATCTGTTTCCTCATCACCACTGCCTCTGCTCCAGGCCAGACACCATCCTAAATTACTGCAGTAGCCTTCTATCCTCCATCTCCAGCTTGTACTCAGTGAGCTTGCAAAAGCAAATGAAATTACCATCACTCCTCTGCTTAAAATCCTTGATTTTTTTCCCCTTGTCCTTAGGCTGAAGTCCATAAACCTTAACACATCCCAGAAGGCCTGTCTGTCTGGTTGGTCCCTGGCTCTTGCCACATCTCTCTCTTCCACCCTGCCCTCCATTTTGGCTAAATTGGACTTCTTCATCCACCCCTCACCCCACCACCACTCTTCTCTGTATTTGTCATATCCTGTGTCTGCAGTATTCTCCCCTCCCTTTTACCTGACTGACTCCTCTCACTTTCTTTTCCAGTCTCAGAGTAAACGTCACTTCCCTCCAGAAGTCTTCCCTTTGGCTGCAAACTAAGTTGCGTCCCTGTTTGCATGCCCCCACAGCACAGTACACTTAACAGATTTTCATACCGTTGTAAAACTT